GTTTTTGATCTCCTCGGTGGTTCTCGTACCGGACACCGTCTTGAATTGAACTGGTTGATAGCACCCATATCGAGTAGAACCTTGGATGTTCTGCTCGATGCAACTCCTCGGTGTAACTCCATCGAGCAATTTGATCGATGTACGGGCTATAGCTTATCGATGTACGGGCTATAGCTTTTGGTGCTCTGCTCGATGCTACACCTCGATGTAATCTTCACCGTGCGTCTTGATCGATGTACGGTCCACTCTCCTCGGTGTACGGACCAGGGCTTCAGGAGCGATCACATCGAGCAGGGATTTTGGTGTTCTGCTCGATGTTACACCTCGATATGATCCCCATCGTGCAATCTGCTCGGTGTACGGACTGTTCCTTCCTCGAGATAAGCTGTATCGAGCATAAATGACAGATGTTCTGCTCGATATGGCACCACGATATGGCACCTCGATATGAAAACAGAGTCTTATTTCCTTGGCCTTTAAAGCATTCTACACATCCATGGACCTGATCTTTAACTTCTGAAACACTAAATAGAAACATTAGTAATAAAAGAAAGCATATATTTACGAGGATAGTCATGGGATTACCTCCCAAGTGTGCTTGTTTTAAGTCACTAAGCTTGACTTTAATGGTTTGAGGACTAGTGAAGAAGAGGTTGATGGAGCTGGTGCTCCTTCCTCTTTCTTCTGGTAAACCCAAGTGCCCACTGACATCAGTCTCTTCTTCTCACGAGCTGTCTTCCTATTTCTCTTCTTCTTGACACTTGGTGTGATCAAAGGCTTCACTTCCTTGGTGATCAAGCTTTCATCCCCTTTCAAACCATCTTCAAGCTTCAACTCAGTGTTAAGCTTCTGTTCTGGCTCATCAGGGAGAGTGTCTCTCATCAACATATTCATTGTGAAGCTCATAGCATGCTCCACACGCTCTTGAAGTTGCTGTTACTCACTCTCTTTTTCAATGATTGTTCCACAAAAAGCTATGGAAGGAGAGACAATCTTGTAGACTTTAAACTCATCAACATTCTTCAAAATCACAGAGCCTCTCTTGAAGTCTACTTGAGCTCCTGCTGTTGCCAAGAATGGTGTTCTTAGAAGAAGTGGCACCTCTCTTGAATATGTCTTCCCATAACCACAAAATCTGTTGGCACCAAGCAATTCCCAATCTTCAAAAGGAAATCATTTACCATGCCCAAGGGTCTTGTTGAGGTGTTATCCACAAAGGTGATAGAGTCTTTACAGGGCTTCAATTCCTTGATTCCTAAGGTTTGGCTTAAGTGGAGAGAGATGATATTCACAGTTGAACCTGAATCACACAAGGCTCCAACATTGTCTAGCATCTCTAGCTCACAAGTGATGAGGAACATTCCTGAATTGGGAAGCTTTGTCAATGTCTTCAGCCCTTTGATTTTCTTCAGATTGGCCCCCACATTCTCTAGAATTGGCTCCACTACTTCCAGCTTGTCAAAGACTTCTTTGAGGAACCTGATTTGATCCTTCACTTCAAGCAAAGTGGTGCCATGAGGAAGCTTTATTCCAGCGTCTTGTATGTCTTTCCTGAAATTTGAGTGGACTGCCATTTGAGCCTTTGTAAAGTGCATCGTGGGGTAAGGGATTGGTGGTATGTAAGCTTGAACTTCAGGAGCTTTACCCTTCTTATTGCTGCTTGAAGAGCTGCCCACTTGGCGATCATACAATTCCTTGAAATCTTCAGGACTTTCTCTGGTCAAGACCATCAAATCGTGGTATGTCTCTACAAGGTCTTTATTAGCTTTACTGAGCTCTGGTTTGGCTTCTTCTTCTGGGGTAACTAAGGCTTTCTCAGCCTCTTCCTTCTCAGCAGCTTCTTGTGCGGCTCTTTCTTGCTCTTCTTCTCTGTTCAAGCTTTCATCTAGTCCTTGGAGGAACTTCTCTACAATATCCGCAGCTATATTGGGGTTTGATTATGTGATAACAAGTCTAACAACTTAATGGTGCAATGAAAGAAAAGCTTAAACTAAATGCAAGTGAACAGAACTAAACAATGAACTTAAAGCAATAACTAAACAAGAACTAAACAAGAAATGACTACCAAAGCAAGACTCAAGGTTCTAAGCAATTGTGGGATTGTGGTTTTCAAGAGTGATAAGGGGATTTCTACTAAGGCATTCAACAAGCATTAATCAAGCAAGCAATTCTCAATGTTATGCTCCTTAGACAAGGTATCTGCAGGGAACAACTTGGCGTCAATAATCAATTCATATTCAACAAGATCAAAATGTTAGACCCACTTGTGATGGCGTATCCTTCAACCATGAGCATAAATATCAGAACCATTCTAGCCTAAGAGATACTCCAATCAAGCAACTACTCTCTTGCCCAAGAAAGAATTCAGATTAACTTATTAATCTTGTGAACCAATAAGGACCTAAGCAGCTATACACCAATCAAGATTATGGATTTAAGCACAGACTTGCAACATCCTAAGAAAGCTAAGCAATGATTAAGAATGAAGCAAAAGCAAGATCTTTTAATGCATACTATCTAACCATCAAGTCAAGAATCTCAAAACCAGCATTATCTAGCCCTAAGCGAATCATCTAGCACGGTGAACTATCACTTTGGTGTCACTGAACAAAGGAAACATAGACTAAGCTAGACTATCAGGCCAAATAAGTGAACTGTACTTAGAGAAGAGATTTCAAGATATCAAGCAAACCATATGCATCTATCAAACCATATTCAATCAAAAGGAGCAATTTTTATCAACATTAATCACTTTGCAAGAGAAGGAGATAACAGAAAACCATTAAACAGACCTAATCACCCCTTAATCATATCTTAATCACCACTATCCCTACTTAGAACTCTAAATCTAAATAAAACTACTCATAAATCATGTTTAATCCCATTAATTTGGAGTTAAACATAACTAGTTGAGTTTAAAATGCAAGATTATAAATCTAAGCTATCAAGATGCAAGAATAAAGATTAGAAGACAAGATTAAACCATAAAAATGCAAACTTTCTTAAAGATAAAGATCATAAGGGAAATCACCCTTTAAGGTTTAGGAAAGGTTTTTTTGATTGAAAGCTAAACTTGGATAAGATAGAACATGATAAAGATAATGTTTTGTGGCTTCCCTTTTATAGTAGGGAGCCAAAAGAAGCATAAAAAACCTAAAAAGATAAGATAAGGTTAACAAAACTCAAATGGTCAACGCGGATGAGTTGCATCGAGGTCGTACGGTTGATGTTCTGCTCGATATGCGACCTCGATATGGTCCGTGTAGCGCGTATCGACGTCCTTCCTCGATGCAGACCAGCGGCTTGAAATCCTCGTGCTGATCCTTTTCCTCTCGTCCTGCTGCTTACATCGAGCACACTCCACGGGTGTACTACTCGATATGCAACCTCGATATGGACCAGACTTTGCAAGAAATCCATTTTTGACATCTTCTTTGATCATGAGCTGCTTCCATCCCTTCCCTAGCTCGAAGAAACTCCAAAAACACCTGAAAACCACCACAAACATGCACATGTATGCAAATGTATGCAATCCTAAGCTAAATGCATGCTATGTTGATTCTAAGTGCAAATGGTACATAAATGCTGAACTATATTGCAAAAACAGAGGAAAAGATGCATGAAATGCAACCTAAAATTATCTAAAATAGAAAGCTATCACTTTACTAGGTATGAATATTCATTGCTTGCTTCATATATGTCCATGTCTTTCTATCCATTTGTTTGTGTCTATGACATTACTTATCTACGACTTTCATGTCCATTTAATTGTGTCCATGAGAATACATATCTACGACTGTCCTCTGCATAATACTGTCTCCCATGGGACAGTCAGGAGTGGACCCATGTTGAAAATGGGTGGGTCATCTGACCTAGGTTAAATATTAAAACTTAAAGCTTTAGACTAAATAAGAAAAGAAAAGCAGTTCAATTGATTTTTTACTACACTTGAACCACCAAGATCTGAGTTCGAATATTCTCTAATTTATTTATTTTAGAAAATTCTCTAATGAATTTTTTATTTATAGCATTAATTATTAATTAAATAATAATTAAGTTAGTTTATGACCTATCTCTATAATATTATTTGAGAAGTACATTTTTATTTATAGCATTAATGTGTTTACGAAATATGATATTACTTTTATGAATTAAATGTGTTTGGCAACATGTTTATTTAGGGATAAAACGGAGGAGTTAACTGAGTTAACTCAGTTGTGATGAATCGGATTATGTCCAAACAAAAAAGTCTGACCCATTACCCATTAAGAAACACGCGAATCCTCTCTTACTTATATGAAACCGGCTTTTCTGATCTGAAATCAATGTAAAAGAACCGGATTGAAAAAATAGAATTCCAATTCAAACATTACAATACTTCGGAGTAAATATATGGCAACTGCTAAATCTATTTTTTTCTCAAACAGGTTAACAATATCATAAATACCTGTAGACTACCTAACATTAAACTCAGATCATAACTACATATTCTTAACAAACCAATTTGATCAATATCATAAAATACCCGAATATTCTAATCAATCTACATATTCATTCGTATGGTAATCTAATCAATCTCGTATATCTAACAATATTTATGTATAACTAATCTGTTCACCTATGGTCATGATGGATTTTTAAGATCTTGCTATAATAATTTAAAATCCTTAAATATTGGCAGAAATATTCGTTCAAAAAGATTTGCGACTAACCTAACTGATCACATATAAATAGAAGAACGAGTTAAACATATCGCCGTACCTTTGTACGCCTTCCTTTGAAAATGGCTTCTAAAGTTCCAGTAACATCTGTTCAAAATATTAAGCCCTTCAAATTCAGTTGGAGGATTCAAGTCAAAATCCTGCACATTTGGAAGTAGTTTGCTTTCACATCAGGAGAATCCATGGAGATGGTTTTAGTCGACAAAGAGGTATATCATCTAAAGATAATAAACTTAAAACTGTTTGATGTTACCTAAGACGTTTCTACTATTTTCACAGGGTACAAGAATTCATTGTTCTATTGAGAAACAACACTTGAAGAGATACGAGAAGCACCTATCTGTAGGAAGCTGGAAATTTGAAGAGTTCAACGTTAGTCATTCAATCGGCCAATACAGAACTACCAAACATTGTTACCAGAGTAGTTTTGTCAAAGAGACAATTGTCTCTAATTCTGTAACTTTGTCAGACTCTTATTTCTTGGACTTGGTCCGTTTCAGTCATATTCATGAAGGCTTACAGAATCAGAGCATTTTGTGTGGTAAGATCAACCCTAAAAAGCTTTTTAAAATAACTTATATTATCGTATTTAGATACTAGATTTCTAACCTAATATGTTAAATTATGATAGATGTTCTTGGCCAAATAGTGAATGTGGGGCAATTGTCTACGATGCATGTCAATAACAAGGAGGCAAAGAAGATTGACTTCAAACTCCGGGATAAGCAGTAAGTATTAACTAATCTGATTTTTTTAAACGTATATATATGTTCGAGTATTAATTGATTCAGATTCGTTACTGCGTTTTTGAAAATTTATTCTCAGTGATATGCGTCTAAGCTGTACCTTATGGGGATCTTTTGCTGATCAAATCGTTGAAGCCACTTCCAATCCTGAGAAGGAAAAAGTAATTTGTCTCATTAGATTCGGAAAATTAAAGAGTTTAGAGGTACACTTGCTACATTTCGTTGACTTGCTCTACTATTTTAACATATTTTTGTTTCTTACTTTGATTTTGAATATGTCTCAGAAATAAAAAGTGTTTCAAATGCTTTTGATGCCAGTTTAGTCATCATAAACTCAGCAGGAACAGAAATTGAAGAGTTTTTGAATGCGTGAGTTCCTATATTTCATTTCAGAACTTACTTACATATATTACAGACAGTTTTTTATTTTATCTATTTCTATTTACAATGTTCTCATTAAATCTTAATTTATTATAGATTACCAGATGATGGTCTGGCTCTTACTCTATTAGAAAGCAAACCTAAAGAGGAAATAGTAGCGAAGATCGAGGATTACTGGAACCAGTTTCCTATGGTCACTGTTGCTGAACTTAGAGGACTAACCGAGGTTTGAAATTTTTGGTCAAACACAAAATATCTATGTATATCAGGGTTGTCAAATAATTAGTATATAATCCTTCTTATAATATTGTAGGTCGGTAAAGTGAGGATCATCTGCACAGTGTATGCCATTGACACTGGCTGGGGATGGTACTATTTTGGGTGCAAAATCAAAATTCACAAGAAGGTTAGAAAAATTGTGGCAGGAACCAATGAAGTGGTCCTTTTGCGAGCGAAACAAATGCAATAAGACTATCACCAATGTTGTGCCCAAGTAATTGAATTATCATTTATATTTTTTTAAAGCAAAACATATGATAATAGTCACAATATATTCACTGTTTTATGTCAGGTTCAAGCTACATCTGAAGGTTATGGATACAACAAGTGAGATTACTATATTGTTATTCGACACGTCGGCAAGTGAGATGTTAAAATGCCAAGCATCAGACTTGCTCAACGTATCATTCGATGAGGTTTGTTTTTAATATAATTATCATTTAATTGATTTATCAATTTCTTTTTAAAAAAGCTTATCAAATATGATGATGTACTCATTCCATCGATATTTCAAATGTGATTTATCATGTACTTATTTATTTTCCAGTGTCATATGATAAATTGATTAAACCTACATTTTAAATGCGTAGATCGAAGATCGTGAAGACCTCCCAGAAACGTTGAAGAACTTAGGTTGAAAAACTTTTCAGTTTGTTCTTGCTGTTGATAAAGAAAATCTCGGTGGTAGTCACGATACTTTCAAGGTTTCCAAGATATTGAGTAATTAGGGTATGTTGAATATTTAACTGTTGATGATTCGGAAAAGCCAGTTAATATTTCAGAATTGGTTTCCGGTAATGAGGTATACTACTATACGAATTGTTGATCAGAGTTATAATTCAATAAGTTCGTCTTTAACAATAGTCTATTGTATTTTTTCTAGGATTTGTTGACTCTTACCAACACTGAGTTAATTAATAAATATGAATATTAAAAATAAGTTACCCCTACTTCGAAGAGAAAAGATGACCCTATAATTGAAGTTTTCGAATATCAACATTCAGCAAGTAAGAAACAATGCAAAGTTGAGGTCAAAATCAAAAAGTTTGAGAACGAAAGCAAAAGTGGCTAATGTCGACTTCTAATTATTTTCTGCTGAGTGAGTTGTGTGGTATTTGGTTTATACTTTTTTAAAGCATAATCGATTTTTTTTCAGATTACTCGTTCATTGTTCTTTGTTACTGCGTGGATTTTCCCATAAAACACAACAGCTCAACTCAATAATATTGCTTTTTCATTTATGATTTTAAATTTTTAATTCCTTATATCGTTTGCTGTTAATTTTGTGATATTATTTAGTTGAGATTTTAATTCTCAACTATGTACTAAATTAAGTTTGTCCTTATCAATAATTAAAAAACAAAGATAAAAGTGAAGACCTACATACCTTAAATCATGTTGGGCTGCATAGCTATGGGCTAATGTTAAACCTCCAGTCCAATAGATTTCAAACCGTGTAGCCCATCTTATTTTCCTTGAAAACCTTGGTATTTTCAACCTCTCATTAATTTATTGCTTTTCCGTGAAAATGAACCAGTAACTATAAAATTATTGTTAGTTTCTATCAAAAATTATTGTTTATTTTACCGTTTCACTGATAAAGTTTCTGCATTCAAAGATTTTGCTTGTTACCAAAAACAAGATTGTCTTTTCGTTTTTCTTCTTTTTCCCAAAACGTCAGATTAAACCTGTCAATAAAAAAAAAATTTGTGAGTCGAAATTCATTAATATCATGATTAAAAGCCGCTACGTAACCCACAATCACGTTAACCTATATTTTAATCCACTGTATATATAACATCAACTCTGCCGTTCTGTAACAAAAATCCCTTCAGTTGTAAAATCTAAATTTTCCGGAAAATCAAACAATATCTTACTATGACAAAAATATAGATTTGCATCCATGGGAATCTGATTGGAAAATGCGTGTCAAAGTTCATAGAAAATAGAAATCTATTGTTCTCAACAGAGAAGAGTCCCATAAGGAAATTAATTTCCTAGAGAACACAGAGATCTAACTATGATTCGGAAGAACACTTGATGTCATTCAAACCATTTGATGATATCTTTCATCTTGGTGTACATCTAGATCTTCCTGTTGGTAAGTTTTAAAACTAATTCTACTATACTCAAAAGTACAAAGCTATCCTAATATAATTTGGTATCTGAGTATAGATGTCATTGGGAAACTAACTAATGTTGAAGATCTAGAGTTAGTGCAGCTGATTATCCTAAACAAATTTGTCGATTGAGATTTACTGTCATCAATAACGAGTAAGTATTTACTGTAAATTCATTAATTATTATGATTTTAGAGCTATTAATGTAATTATCTCATACTATGCGTGGCATTTGGCAAATTGGCTGAGGAATTCAATCATCACTGGCACTCTCTCCACGATGATGAAGCTGTCTGTGTTTTAACTGACTGGCGTCCTAGAACTATTCAAGGTAAATTTAAAGCAATCGACAATCAAACATATCTGGAAAGTTTGTCTCTTCCATCAAACAATTTGAGTATCGTTACTATGATTAACTAATTTTTGGTTGCTCTTAAGGTAATACCTAATTGGTGGATGAGCGAGGTGTTTCTAGGTTTTACTTCAGTCTTGATATTGAAGAAGTTTTTGAATTCAAAAAAAACATGTAAGTCGCTTATAAGTGTTTTATATTATATTAAAATAATCTAAAACCTAATGTTTTTTATGATATATCAGTTATACTTATGCATTTTTGAACTCCCATCTCAGACCAAATCCACCGATTGAAATCGATTAATTGGTGATAGTTCGAAGCCGAAGTTCAAGGAGAAAAACTACTGTGGGATTCATTACCTTCAGTTACTGTTTTTTTTAAGTGTTATGTATTATATTTGAAAACTTTTTTATCGTTCTCTCTGCTTGTGTTTTATTATATTTGCACTTTCTTTGCTATTTTTAAACTTAAGTTTGTTCTCCGTTTGTGTTTTACTCGGAGTAGTGGTGTTTGGATTTTAAAGTTAAATAAAAAAACAGCTTTATTTTAAGATTATCACATTAGTTATTTGACTAACCTCTTTTACGGATACTCCAACAATTTATGAATTAGAACAAACACCATTCCAGCGCATGTAGTCTGAATGTACCTGTACATATAAACTAAAGACATACATTTAAAATTACTATATAGTATGAGATTTACAAAAGGACTAAGCTCATTAAAGTGCCTTTCGACCAAACAATTCTCTACAAATCGAAAACCTCGATGGTAATCACTATATATTGAAGATATTTATATATAATTAATTTTCTGTTAGGATATCAAAAACGTATATATCAAAATACCATATATGTAAATTTAAATTTACCACTTAATAAATAGTGATTGATCGAGCTATTATTGTAAATCATAGAAAAGTTTGTTAGTTCTGTATACTATTTTATTTTAACAAATAAGTTATGAAGAAGAGGAAGGATGATGCCATCAGACCATTACAAAGTTCAGAATCATCAAAAAAGAGTAAACATCTATTTACAGATGAAAATTCACCAGCTAAAAGTACTCTATCAAGCAATACAACTATAGCAAGCAATAAAAATGAAAGCGTCGTGTTGAAATCAGTATTCAATAGGATTTTGGGAGATATTACCAATTTGCAATCAAATGGGAGTTTGCTTTCTGAATCTACTCCATCTTTTTTTCCTCAGTTGCATCTAATCTGAAACTGAGAAAATTCAATGGTAAGTAAACTAAAATTAACAATTGTTGTTATTTTCTACACCGGTTTTTTAACAATATATCTAAAAAACTGTAAATATTCTATTTTTTAATGGTGCAAAACCAATAATAAACTCAGATGTTATAAGAAATTGTTCATCTACTTTCATCAAAAAACCAACTACAGGTGTTCAATGTCCACCCTGTTCAATCAATCTGAGTTTATTGTTTACTAAGTATGCACATTTAATCATTCTCAGGTGAGGGTAGAAGTGCATCACACAAGGTCATCAAGCCAAATAACACGACCAAGAATACTGATCCTGTTAATGACTTCTTAGCAATAACAGAAGGTAAGTACTAAATATTTAATTAATTCTGTTTATAATGTCAGATGCTTTTTTAGGCTTTTTGCAATTTGAACTACAGAAGAACACCATGCATGTTTAGAAGAGATATATGATTGTTCCAGTCCTGAAGGTACATCTGATGAGTACTCAGATGATGACAAAGAAGGAGAAATTCAATCATCTGAGTTTCTAAGTACAGTCGACGAATTGATGAAATTCAATATTGAAGTCATATTAAAAAGAGCTTTGAATAAAAAGAAGCAGGATACTCAGAATTCTGCTGCTTCAGAATCGGTTGAATTAACTACTATCTAAATGTTCCTTAACTCTTATTATTAACTGTACCATGCGAATATAGAATGATTGAACATTGGCCCTTTATTTCCAGGTTATGAATATAATGGTGATCCAGTATATGAATGTGACAAATGCGGAGCAATTTTCTGGTATGACGAATGTAATAATAAAAAGAGAAATGCTAAGAAACCTATTTTTACTATGTGCTGTTTGCAAGGAACATTAAAATTGTCTTTCCTTAAGAATTCTCCTAATATTTTGTTAGCATTACTAACCAATGATGATGAACTAAGTAGACATTTTAGAGAGAATATCAGAGCATACAATATGATACTTGCTTTTACTTCTCTTGGTGGAAGTGTTGATCGTT